ACATCCACTCTTCCACCTTTGATGTGGGGGTTGGCATTGCCCTCAACGACCACTTTGTCAAGCTCATTTCCTAGTATAACAATGAATTTGGCTGCAGCAACAGGGTGGTGGACCTCTGCCCACATGGCTTCCAAGGAGTAAGACCCCCAGACCACCAGCCCCAGTGAGAGCATGACAGGAAGAGAGCCGCCCTCACTGCTGGGGAGTCCCTGCCATACTCAGTCCCCCACCACACTGAGAATCTCCCCTCCTCACAGTTTCCATGCAGACCCCCCAAAAGGGAGGAGCCGAGGGAGCCCCACCTTGTCATGTACCATCAATAAAATCCCCTCTGCTTAGCCAAACAAACAAACAAAAATTTGTTCCTATTGAGATTTCTATCGACTTCAACCCAAATACTTCATTTGATTCAAGCTCTTCTACATTTCTTATCATTGTTAGTACTTAGTATCTCACAGAAACAGAATTTCAATAAACATCCTTGAATTTAAAACAGCTTTTTATTATGCTCGTATTAAGATTCTTTATATAGAAATATATTTTTGGACATGCACAGATGTTTATGATACATTACTCAGAGAAGACAGTAAGGCAAGAAATAGTTTATATAGTATGATCCCTTCATCTATAAGGAAAATACTGTAGGTTTCTTGCCTATAGTAAGGCAAGAAATAGTTTATATAGTCTGATTCCTTCATCTATAAGGAAAATAGTATGTATTGTGTCTGTCAGGGTTTTTTGGTATGATGACACTAGGCATTTTTAAGTTTCTTCTTTCTGAATATTTGTTTCATTATTTTCTCAATATGAATATCTAATCATTTGTATATTTAAAATAATATGCTTATATACACAGAAAACAATTACTTTGCAATACAATTAACAGTAAATTCTAACTCCTGTTCTTCCATGAAAAAAATTTAGTCACTGTTAATGTAACTATTATATAAACATAACATGGATATGTGCTATTAATGTAGTTTAGTATGCAGATCGATGGAAGAAATAAGAACTATTGTATATTTCAAAACAGCTAGAAGAAGATAATCTGAATTTTTCCAGCATAAGGAAAAGATAAATATTTAAGGTGATAGATATCCCAATTACACTGATTTGATCTTTACAAATTATATGAATGTATTAAATTATCACATATATCCCCAAAATATGTATACCTAATATGTATCAATAGAAAAAATTTAATGTCATTTAGATCATCTATAGATACTTGTCTAATTATTCTCTTTATACAAAGGGATGATGTGTTCAACTCTTCTCTTTATACAAAGGGTAATGTAGCACAGTATGATAAATATTACCACTATATCAATACAGCTACATGACATTCACATTCAATTTTGCTTTCAGATAATACCCCTGAAATATTCCTTTTAAGGACAGTACTTTCAATAGCTTTTGTGTTTGTGGTATATACTTTAAACATTTGTTTTTTATCTTTAAATTCAGAGCCAAAAGTAGCAAAAACATATTCAACTTGAACTTTTGTCATTGCTGTTGTTAAAAGTATTAATATTTATTTATTTCAAATGTTTCTTGTTTCAGAAAGTATTGAAACTAATATACTGAATAAGTAGTGCTAGAAAAATTGTGTTCTATATTTTAGGCATCTCAAAGGTGACTACTATTTCATTTAAGGGAAAGAACAAAAGAGCTCCTTTAAGATTATTTAATTTTGACTCAATTTAGAAAGTAATATTCTCCTCATTTCAGAAAAATTTGGAATCTTTGTTTTAACCTGTAAAAATATATATAATAGAGATAATTAGCATATCAAAGGCAAGCTTAATTATGATCAATATTACTTTTTTTTTTTTTTTGAGACGGAATCTCACTCTGTCACCCAGGAGTGCAGTAGCAATCTCAGCTCACTGAAGCTTCTGCCTCCTGGATTCAAGCAATTCTCCTACCTCAGACTTCGTAGTATCTGGAATTACAGGTGACCACCAGCACGCTCAGCAATTTTTGTATTTTTAGTAGACATGGGGTTTCACCATGTTGGCCAGGCTGGTCTCGAACTCCTGACCTCAGGTGATCTGCCTGCCTTGGCCTCCCAAAGTTCT